TCAGTTGTTCTTAGATCAGGGTTTTTAAACTCAAAACCTGCAGTTGGGGTAACAGAGTCTGATTGGCTAGAACTGGTTGCTGGGTGAAAGCTGCATCCTGTTATGCTGCATGGGCTGACCCCAGACCCTAATCTTCCTGGGTAGGGTCTGCAGGCAGCTTCCTGTGGTGCCATTTTTTTGTCTGGTGATTTTCATTTCTCCTAGGCCTGCCTAGATCTAACAATATGAAACCATAAATGATCCTGAATAGCTGCTATATATATATATATATATATATATATATATATAATTGATAATGCTATTACAGTTGTCCCATTCCCCCTCTTTATTTCCCTTCCACCCTGCACACCCTCTCCCACCCACATTTCCCCACTTTAGTTCATGTCCACGTGTCATAAGTTCTTTATCTTCTACATTTCCTGTACTATTCTTGCCCTCCCCCTGTCTATTTTCTACCTACCATCTACGCTACTTATTCTCTGTACCTTCTCCCCCTCTCTCCTCCTCCCACTCCCCTGTTGCTAACCCTACATTGGAGAAAAGTGATTTCCATTTCTGTGATTCTGTTCCTCTTCTAGTTGTTTGCTTAGTTTCCTTTTCTTTTAGGTGTGGTTGTTAATAACTGTGAGTTTGCTGTCTTTTTACTGTTCATATTTAAAAAATTTTTTTTCTTAGATAAGTCCCTTTAACATTTCATATAATAGGGGCTTGGTGATGATGAACTCCTTGAATTTGATCTTATCTGAGAAGCACTTTATCTGTCCTTCCATTCTAAATGAAAGCTTCACTGGATAGAGCAATCTTGGTTGTAGGTCTTTGGATTTCATCACTTGGAATACCTCTTTCCAGCCCCTTCTTGCCTGTAAGGTCTCTTTTGAGAGATCAGCTGACAGTCTGATGGGGACTTCTTTGTAGGTGACTGTCCCCTTATCTCTTGATGCTTCTAGAATTCTCGCCTTCATTTTTATCTTGGGTAATGTAATTATGATGTGCCTTGGTGTGTTCCTCCTTGGGTCCAACTTCCTTGGGACTCTCTGAGCTTCCTGGACTTCCTGGAATTCTATTTCCTTTGCCAGATTGGGGAAGTTCTCCTTTATTATTTGTTCAAATAAGTTTTCCACTTGTTGCTGTTCCTCTTCCCCTTCTTGTACCCCTATAATTGGGATGTTGGAATGTTTAAAGATGTCCTGGAGGTTCCTAAGCCTCTCCTCTTCTTTTTGAATTCTTGTTTCTTCATTCTTTTCTGTTTGGTTGGTTCTTTCTTTCTTCTGTTCACTCCATTAATTTGAGTCCCAGTTTTCTTTTCATCACTACTGGTCCCCTGTGCATTTTGCTTCATTTCACTTACTGTAGCCTTCATTTTTTCATCTAATTTGTGACCAAAAGCAACCAATTCTGTGAGCATTCTGATCACCAGTGATTTGAACTGTGCATTTGATAGGTTGGCTATTTCTTGGTCGCTTAGATGCCTTGGCTCTGAGGCTTTGATCTGTTCTTCTGTTTGAGCCATTTTTTTTTTGGGGGGGGGGCTCTGGTCATGCCTGAGGGGTGGAGCCTTAGGTGTTTACCAGGGCGGAGCAACTCAAGTTGCTGGGTTGTGACTGCTGTATGTGGGGGCGGGGTCAGAGAGGAAACAATGGCACTTATTCTGCTCTCAGATTTCAGTCCCTTCTGCCACTTCCCACAAGAAAATTGGGCCCTTCTGGTGCTGTTACCCAGGTGGGTGAGCTTGTGTACTTTCTTGTGTCCTGTGGGTCTCTCCAACAAACTCACCTGTGAGGCTGGGAGTCTCTCCCGCCACCTCAACCCCACAGGTGTTTTCGATTAGAGCTTTTATGCTTTATTTCCCGGCACTGGGGCCTGGGGTCGGGTGGTCTGTCTCACTGCCCATTTTTGTCTGGGGCTGCCTCACATGCCTCGCTGGGTCTGCTCATTGCCTCCCCTCGCCTGGGGTTTGCCAACCGCCTCCTGCATGTCCAGTCCACCCGCCACCACTTTTTCCTGTCACTAACCCCTCTCCCCCAGCCACTGACTCCACCCCTTTTACTGGTCTGGATGAATGGTTGTCAAATTTCCGTTCAGTTCAATTTTCTGTCAGTTCTGGTGTTTTTTTTTTGTTTCTAAATTTTTGTTGTCCTTAATTTTGGTTGTGGGAGAAGGCACAGGGTGTCTACCTATGCCTTCATCTTGGCTGGAAGTACCTGCGGCAATTTTGAGAAAGAAGACAAAGTGGAAGGGATCACAATACCTGATATCAAACAATATTACAAGGCCACAGTTATGAAAAAATTTTAAAAACAGATGCCTTGAAGTTTTAGTTAGCCACAGTGAACTGCAGTCCAAAAACATTAAATAAGGACTACTGGTCAAGACAGCAGCTTCGATAAACATGGCTCACCTCCTCGCACAACCTCATCACAAATTACAATTAAAATATAGAACAAGCATCACTCGGAACCATCAAAAATTGAGTTCAGTAGAAGTCTGAACTATAGAATTAAAAAAAACACATTTATCCAGACTGGTAGGAGGGGCACAGACACAGAATGGGCTGGTTCCACACCCAGGTAAGTGGATAAAAATTCAGGAAGAATATCTGAAGGGTAAGGACTCCCAGCCCAACACCAGGCCCCCCAACCCAGGGTTCCAGTACCAGGAAGATAAGTCCCCATAACTTCTGGCTGTGAAAATCAACAGGGATTTTGTTGATGGAAAAAACTTCTGGAGTCCCAAGCAATTCCCCTTAAAGAACCCACACACAAATTTACACAGAAGTGCTCCCTCTGAGCTCCAGCACCACTGGGGTAGCAGCTTGAAAGGCACCAGTGGCATACAGAAAGAAACGGAAGTATCTGGCATCAAGGCAAGAGTTGTGGAGACAGCTTTCTCCCAGACAGAAAGGTGAGCAGAGGCCGTTGTCATTTTTCTGCGCTCTCAACCCACAGAGCCACAGAGCCACAGAGCCAGCAGGTGGGGGCCATACCTGAGACTCCATCAGCCTGGCAAACACTGTTTGCCCTGCCCTGGAGATCCTCTGAGACTCTGTCCCACCCAACTTACAGGCCCACTCAAGCTGTTAACCCAGACTTTTCCATATAAATGGCTGGTCATGACTCATTTTTAACAACTTCCTAAATTCTCTGAAACAAGCCATAGCTAGCCTCAGTGAGCCCTCAGTTCCTGCTTCAGGCCAAGCACTAGCAACAACCAGCATAGATTCACATTTTGGCCTCACTTTGGTATCTCTGAGCCCATCACAAGTAGCAGACATCTCAGATTGCTTTATAGTTTAGGTACACTGGCCCTGGGCAAGACACAGGTCTGGGCTGATCTTGTCCTGTACCACCTGGGAAATCCCAGAGCCTGAGAACCCAGCCTCTGGGGAGCTACAGACCACATTAGAGCACCATCACCCTGCCCCTGCACAGCTAATCCTCCACAGAGGGTGGAGGTTGGTGGTCAGGGGTCACAGCCAGTCCTTGCAACTGACTGACTTGGGTAAATCCCTCCTATTGATGTGCCAACAGCAGCAAAGGCTCAACTACAAGAGGGTATACTCAGCCCACATGAAGGGCACACCTTGAGGACCCAGCTGGGGTGATAGAGAGTCTATACCACTGGGCCCTACAGGACTCCTACTACATTAGGCCATGCTAGCAACACAGGGAGTCATAGCAGATCTACCTAATACATAGAAACCAACACAGGGAGGCCGCCAAAATTAGGAGACAAAGAAACATGGCCCAATGAAAGAATGGACCAAAATTCTAGGAAGAGAACTAAACAAAAGGGGAATAAGCAATCTATCAGATGCAGAACTCAAAAACTGGTTATAAGGATGCTCAAGGAAATCAGTGAGGACCTCAACAGCATAAAAAAGATCCTGTCAGAAACAAAGGATATAATAATTGAAATAAAGAACAATTTACAGGGAAACAACAGTAGAGTGGATGAAAACAAGAATAAATCACTGATTTGGGATATAAGGAAGCAAAAAACAGCCAACCAAAACAAGTGGAAAAAAGTATCGATAAAACACAAGGATAGTGTAAGCAGCCTATCGGAGAACACAATTATTCCAACATTTGCATTACAGGGGTGCCAAAAGGAGAAGTGAAAGAGCAAAATGTTGGATATCTATTTGAAAAAATAATGAAAGAAAATTTCCCTAATTTGGTGAAGGAAACAAACATACAAGTCCAGGAAGCACAGAGAGTCCCAAACAAAATGGATGCAAAGAGATCCACTCCAAGAAACATCATAATTAAAATGTCAAATGCTAAAGACAAAGAGAGAATCTTAAAAACTTCAAGAGAAAAGCAGTTAGTTACCTAGAGGGGAGTTCTCATAAGACTGTCAGCTGATATCGCAAAAGAAAGTTTGTGGGGTAGAAAGATTTGGCAAGCAGTATTCAAAGTGATGAAAAGCAAGGGCCTACAACCAAGATTGCTCTATCCAGCAAAGCTATCATTTAGAATGGAAGGGCAGATAAAGCACTTCCCAGACAAGGTAAAGCTAAACAGTTCATTATGACCAAACCATTATTATATGAAATGTTAAAGGGACTTATTTAAGAAGAAGATCAAAACTATGAACAGTAAAAGTGGCAATAAATACATAACTGTCAACAATTGAATCTAAAAAGCAAACTAAGCAAACAAGCAGAACAGAAACAGAATCATAGTTGTGGAGAACCATTGGGATGGTGATCATGGGGGAAGAGGGTCTGGAGTAATGGAGAAAAAGATGAAGGGATTAAGAAGTACAAATTGGTAGCTAAAAATAGGCAGGGAGATGTTAAGAGGAAGTATATGAAATGGAGTTGCCAAAGAATTTATATGCATAACCCACGGACATGAACAAAGCAGGGGGTTAGCCAGAGGGAGTGGGGGCAGGGTTCTGGGTGGAGAGGAGCAAAAAATGGGACAACTGTAATAGCATAATCAATACAAATAAAACAAAATCTTAAATAAAAACAATAAAAGAACAGTTTCCAGAAATGATGGGAGGCAGAGGCAGGGCAGCTAAATATAGTCCTGGGGCCAGGGCTAAGCCTGGGAGGATCTGTCTGCTATCCGCTGCCGCCATCACCCGTGGTGTTCACTGCTGGCTGCCCCTGAGAGTCCCCTGTCCTTGTCCTGAGCTTGTTGCTTGCCTCTCACCTACCTTCAGACACAACTCTGACGCGGCTGTGAGTAGTTAGGCCTGACTCTGACTGAGCCTCCCGGGAATCTCTTTTTGCCCAAGGTCTCCAGCCAGGCCTGTGAGTCCTGTGGATCCTGCGGGCCTGGAGTTATGGGGGAGGGGAGGGCCGGGGATCCTGGGGAGGTGAGTGAGAGGAGGTTAGGGCTGGGGGCTTTGGAGAATTTGGGGCTAAGACAGGGGTGGGCAGTGTTTGCAACCCGGGCTTGTGTTTAGGTACAGGGATTGAGACAACGTCCACAACCGGGAGGCGGGGAGGTTATTTCTGGGGCTGGGACTGAGCGGGTCGCACACGCTGAGCCTCTCTGACCAACCTCTCCTGTACCCAGGCCCGCCATGTCGGCTGCGCCCAGCCTCCTGCACCAGGAGCTGTCCTGCCCGCTGCGTCTGCAGCTTTTCGACGCGCCCGTGACTGCAGAGTGCGGCCACAGCTTCTGCCGTGCCTGCCTTAGCCGTGCGGCAGGGGAGCCGGCGGCGGACGGCACGGCGCCCTGCCCGTGCTGCCAGGCACCTACGCGGCCACAGGCGCTCAGCACCAACCTGCAGCTGGCGCGCCTGGTGGAGGGGCTGGCACAGGTGCCGCAGGGCCACTGCGAGGAGCACCTAGACCCGCTCAGCATCTACTGCGAGCAGGACCGCGCCCTTGTGTGCGGCGTGTGTGCCTCGCTGGGTTCCCACCGTGGCCATCGCCTGCTGCCGGCAGCTGAAGCTCACGCGCGCCTCAAGGTTTGGGACCCTGGCGGCCTCCGGCGGGGGTCGGGTCGTGTGGGACTGTGGCACGGGGCAGGGTCCTTCAGGAGGTTACTGCATTGACTGGACTCTGAGCTTCGGGGCCCGACGTGCCTGGCGTTTCAGGGGACGCTGGAGGGCCGACGGGCGAGGGAATGGGAACTTGTGGAGCTGAACGCAGGACCTGGCGGAGAGGGGAGCCGTTTAGAGGCCCTAGGGGCCCGGCCCTGGTGGGACTGCTGTGGCCCAAACCTAGATTTTGCAGGCACGCCGCTTGGTGCTCAGGTACTGGCTGGCACCGAGACTCAAGGCAAGTCTGTTTTTCTGGTTGGAGCTGTTAGTCCTGAATGCTTCTAGAGCCTACACACAGCTGCGCGCGCCCCGAAGTGTGCGAGCCCCACCGGTGCCCAGAAAAGTCACGTAGACATTGGCAAATGGAGACACAGGGGCCCACCGGCTCTCCCATGCCCTACATGTGCTGAATCATGGGAAAGTATGTGTCTACACAGGCCCAGGAAGGTCTGTATGAAACATTTATTGGGCTGCGTTAGAATTAACCACAGGGGCAGAGGCAGGAGCAGGCGGGGGCTGGAGGCATGGAGCGGTCCTGGGTCTGCACAGTGGAGAAGCTACAATCTTCTCACGTCTGGTGGTCGAGGTGGGCTTCTGCGGGCTACTTTTGCCCACAAACAACATCACCACTGCCCTGCACTTCTCCTTGGCCCCGAGACTCCTGGAGGTGTAGACCCCGGGTCCTCAGGCTCCTGTTGCAGGTCTTCAGATTGCCCTAGGGGACCAGCCTCACCTTCCCTCCTGCTCCCGCGGTACTCAGTCCAGCCCAGGGCTAGCCTGTGGTCCCCTAGTCCAGTGCAGGAGCCTCTCCCCGCCCCCCTCCCCCCCTCCCCCTCCCAACCCAGGCTCACCTCTCTCCTGAAAACCGCGTAAGTCCCAACCAGGTCTGTGTTTATCTGCCAAGAGAGAACAGAGTGTGAAATGGGACAAGGTGCCAGGAGTCCAGGGAGCCTCCAGGGGGCAGGTGGGGCCGGATACAATCTGCCAGGGTCCACATGAGCGCAGCCTTAAGCCACAGGGAGGGGCTGGCCAGAGGAGCGGGGGCAAGAAAGCTGGGGCGGGACAGGATGCCAGGGTCTTTGGTGAGGAAAAAGGGCTGAGAGCAGACTTGACCAAGTGCCAAGACTCAAGAGTAGTTGAATGGGATCTGCCAGAAGCTGGGAACTCACGCGACCCCCTGAAGCCTCGCCGCCTCCTCCTGCATGCCCATGTCGCGCAGCACAACCGCGGTGAGCTCGGCGCCGTAGTCCTCGCAGTAGAAGGCGATCAGCTTGTCGGTGAGGTCCACCGCGTCGAGCTGCCCGAGCGCCCCGCGTGGGATGTTCCGAAAACCTTCGCGGAGCGGCGCCGCCCCCAGCTTTAGCTTGAACTTCTTGAGCTCCTCCGGGGTCAAGTTCTCCAGCGCCTCCAGGATGGCGTCGCGTTTCTTCCCCATGGCTCGGCTCTGCCTCCTCTGAACCCCAGACGGAAGCGCGCTGACCCACCGGGCCCGCCCTGTCATGTAGCAGGCGGGGCAGTAGACAACCTGGAGGACTTCCTGGGGAGGAGATTGTCCTGGCGGCTGGCACGGGAAGCCCCGCGGGTCAGTCCTTTGCCTCCCACCTGGCGGGCATTCGACAACAAACAGCGCCTCGTGGAAGCTCCCAGTTTCCCTTAAGGGAAGTGGGAGGAGGCCGCCAATTTGGCGCAACCACTAGTGAGGTGCAGGGTGCAGATGACTGGTCCCATTCTGCTGAAGAGGAAACTGAGGTCGAAAGCCACGGAACTGCCTAATTCCAGGGCCATGCACCTCCCAGCAGAGAGGCTTTGGCAGGAGGTATTAGGACCTCCCCAACAACCTGAATTTCAGGAGACACAAACTGGTAGCCCATGGGGTGCGGGAGGCTGATTGGGGTGTTTTGCTAATGTCCTGCTTTTAAGTATGGGGTGAAGCCCCATAGGAATAGGAGGAGGTTGCATTTCTTCTGCACATATCCTACATTCACCCCCTGAAGCTTGCCGGTGCCAACTTTGTACCCCTCTGGTGCAGGAGACCCAATCACATTTGTGTTTGTCACCCTCATAAAGACCTGTGCTGGGGGTGACTGTTCAGCGGATGGGCTCAGGCTAAAGAGGACTGAACATGAACAGGCGAGTGGGGGTAAGGCTTCCTAGATGTCAAGGACAAGTACTGGCAAGGGCCTGGAGACCTGCCAGTGGATTTGGGAAATGGCAAGATGCCAGCTTGGCTGGAGGAGGAGGTTGGCATTGAGGTTGAGTCCTACAGGGCGGGGTCAGGTAGGGGAGGACAGCAGCATCACTTCTTTATATCTCACCCCCAGACACAGCTCCCACAACAGAAGCTGCAGCTGCAGGAGGCATGTACACGCAAGGAGAAGAGCGTGGCTGTGCTGGAGCATCAGCTGATGGAGGTGAAGGTGAGGGGCTTAGTGTGGCAGAGCCCGTGGTCAGAGGGTCCATGCCAGGAGTCCTCAGCCAAGTGCTTCTGCCTGTCTGTCTCCACAGGAGACAGTGCGTCAGTTCCAGAGGGCTGTGGGGGAGCAGCTGGGCAAGATGAGGGAGTTCCTGGCTGCACTGGAGGGCTCCTTGGACCGTGAAGCTGAGCGTGTGCGAAGTGAGGCTGGGGTTGCCTTGCAGCGGGAGTTGGGGAGCCTGAACTCTTACCTGGAGCAGTTGCGGCAGATGGAGAAGGTGCTGGATGAGGTGGTGGAGAAGCCTCAGACTGAGTTCCTCATGGTGAGCATTGGACGATCTTCCCTCTCTGCCCCTCAGCCAGGGTTCAGGCCCCAGAGACCTCATCCCATGGTCAGACAGGGACCCTGAGATCCAGAGAGGGCAGGGACAAGCCAGGGTCACACATGGAGGAGGGTGGGCCCCAGGACTGCCCTTATGGTTGGTTGTTGAGGTTAGGCACTGCACAAGGGCACTATATCTAAGCGGGCACCATTCATATCATAGACGGTGTAGGTTTGTGTATTTCTTAGGGCAATCGTCTACCATGTGGAATTAGTTTCTTGAGGAAGGGGTACCTTTTTCTAATTCACACAGAGATAAAGTGCTTGCATTCTGTGTTTCTTGGCTTTCCTGATTCTTCCTGACCCCATACTTAGCATTCTTGGCTCACCCCATCCTGAGAAGTCTCCAGTGTCCTTCCTGCCTGCCTAACCTCCATCTTCCTTTTCTCTCTCTCCAGAAATACTGCCTGGTGACCAGCAGGTGAGATCATCCTGTCCTTTCCCTTTTCCCGACTTGCTCTGGCCTTCAGGGACCCTGGCTGGCTCACCCCCTACTCACAGTGTGCCTGCCTGCTCCCATTCGGTCCGCTGCAGTTTCCCTGCACTTTGTGTTGAACAAAGAAACGAACCCGACCTGCTCCTTCTCAGGAAGCTCCCAGACAGATGTGGGCAGGGACATAGGCATCATGGTGTGCTCAGTGCTGCCTGGAGGGAAGTGGGTGGCCAGGGCCGGCTTTCCAGGGGAGTGCACATTTGAGTTGGACGCTGAGGGAGGAACTGGAGTTAGCTAGGTAAAGAGTTGGGGGAAGAGCATTGCAGGCAGAGGGAACATCAAGTGCAAAGATCGGTAAGAGGGAGGAGAGAAGATGAAGCTGGTGTGGAAGGTGGTGACAAACTGTGAAGAGTGGAGGAGTTTGGACCTTATCCCAGAAAATGACTTTAAAAAGTGTTATTTAGTTTTAGAGAGGGGGGAAAGGAGGGTGAAAGAAAGGGAGAGAAACATCAATTAGTTACCTCTCACATGCACCTTGATGGGAGGGAACACACACATGACAACCTAGGCATGTGCCCTGACCAGGAATTGAACCTCAACCTCTTCACTTTGCAGGATGATGCCCAAACAACTGAGCCACACTGACCAGGACCTGTGTGGTGGCTTCTGCCTTTGAATGGCGGGACCAGGAATCTCGGGTCAAGCCTCAGTATTGCTGGACAGTCTTCTTTTAAAAAAAAAATTTAAACCTTTTGTAACACATTTGGTTTTTTAAAGATTTTATATATTTATTTTAGAGAGGGGAAGGGAGGGAGAAAAAGAGGGAGAGAAACATCAATGTGTGGTCACCTCTCATGTGCCCCTTGTTGGGGACCTGGCTTGCAACCCAGGCATGTGCCCTCACTGGGAATTGAACCGTTGACCCTTCAGTTTGCAAGCTGGTGCTCAATCCACTGAGTGACACCAGCCACGACTGCTGGACAGTCTTACCACAAGGGTTAAAAAACTCCCCCATGATTTTCCGGGAGATGCTGTGTCAGGATTTAAAAGACATAAAACTACAAGGAAGAATTGTTAGTAATATGTAGCTACATCATTTAACTAATACTATAGCCACTTGGAACCATTTGGCATCTTGTGGCTATGAAGTATCAGCACAGAGGCCCAGTTTTGCCAACAAGATGTAAGGTTTCTTGGATTCCTGCTTGAACCTGGCAAAAGGAGTCTTATTTGACTTGTCAAAGAAACTAGATCACACTTTCCAGGGTGGCCAGCTGGCTTGAGAGCTGTGGCAGTCACCTGTGAACACTTATAGGAAGCTGAAAAGTTTTCCTTGGGACAACCAGTCACCATTTATGCAGCCCACCAAGCACTGAGCTCACTAGAGCAGAAAGAAAATTTGCGGCTCAGTGCTAGGAGAATAAGCATGTACCAAGCAATTCAAAACTGTAAGTAAGTTAATTCCTGCCTCCCTTCTCCCAGAGCCTAATTTGGCTGTGTTAACACATGACTGTGCTGGAATAATTGATGAAGTTTATTCTACCAGAATTGATTAGGAAAAAAAAAGGGTGAATGTGTATCCGAAAGGAAAGAAGACCATTAACCTCCAATAAAAAGGAAATTAAGCATGCAACAGAAATTTTAAATTATTAGAGGCTATTCAAGTACCTTTACAGGTGGCAGTTATACACTGCCTGGGGTATCAAAAAAGGACACTGGAGTAGCTAAAGGAAACAATCTGGCTGATTGAGCAGCAAAAGAGGCTGCTAAAAGAACATTAATAATGCTTTTGGTACCTGTTCTAGACTTGTCACAGTTTGACCCTGAATATTCAAGTGCAGACTTGGAGAAAGCTTAAGAGCTGGGGTTTTGAACACCTATATTAAACCATGGCTCACAGGTCCTGGAATTCCTAAAACCATGTGTGCCAGAAGGACAGTCCTAAGACAGATCACCATCAGAAAAAAAAAAAAAGGCAGAAACTACCAAGGACAGTGCCTGTTTGAGGACTGGCAAATAGATTTTGCCCCCAGATGCCAAGGGTCTGAGGATGGAAATATTTGCCTTTGTTGATAACTTTTCAGAATGAATAGAGGCCTATCCTACTAGAACTGAGAAATCCTTGGAGGTAATGAAAGTCCCACTGAAGGAAATAATTTCTCACTTTGCCTTACTCAGCAGCATGTAGAGCTGTAATGGAGCTACTTTTGTTTAAGAAATTGCACAGAAGATTAGTCAATTTTTAGGAATCAAGTGGAGACTCCACATGGCATGGAGACCTCAGCCTACTGGGAAGGTAGAGGTGAAATGTTGTGGGAGGCTCTGTTCTTCTTGCTGACACAGTAAAGAATTACAGATCAGCAAGCAAGCAGAGTTTATTAGTGATACATTCTCATGGAAGAGAACAGACCTAGAGGAGGTAGATGAGAAAAGCACAGACACTTGGTCTGTTGGTCCTGTGCGTTTATAAACTTTGTGGGGTGGGGTGAGAGAATTACATATTGATTTGGTGGGAGAAGGTGGTGCATAATCCTTCAAGGGAGGGTGTGACCTCCTTAGGGTAAGTATGGGTGGAGGTCTGTTAATGTAGATTTTTATTTTACCCCAGACTGTCTCTGTTACCCTGTTAAAAACAGATACATTGCCTGAGGCAGTTAATCAAAGTTATTTGAGAGTTTTTTGCAAGTACTATGGGCCCCCTCCCACCCATCCTGCTTCTACCTAAACTAAGCTTCTACCTAAACTTCTACCTAACATAGTCACACCTTGAAGAAAAATGTACCCAAACTGTGTCAAGAAACTCATCTCCACTGGGATCAAGCTTTACCTATTGCCCTGCTCAGGATAAGGGTGGCTCCTCGAACTGGGACTCAACTGAGTCCCTGTGAAATTATGCACAGGTGGCCATTTCAGGCTATGACTGGTGTGGGAGATATGTATGTAGATCAAGAAGTGAAGGTAAAGGAATTATGTATAACATTTAAGTCAGACGTTAACTGTGATTAATGACCTTGCTTGTATTAGAGATTTCTCCTCCACAGGCTCACTACATTCTTTTGAGCCTGAAATGAGGGTCTGATGAGGGACTGAAATGTTGGAAAATTTTTAGTTACAGGTAACTAAAGCTTAGTAATCAATGTATGTAAAGCTATTGTTTCAGGAACTGAAAACATGTCCCACCTTGACTTCAGGAGACCATAAGCAGTCCAAACTCTATGCCTCAGAAGGATTGCAAGCCATCAAGATGCCCACCATCCAGGACAGAGATGAAAGAATGCTGCAGATTTTTATAGGATTAACTTCTCCCCTGAATTCTAAACCCTTTACCTACACTTCTCTTCTCCTTATAAAAAGGGTCAATTTAGATGGAATTTAAGATGGTCTGTTAGGGTACAAACCCACTGTCTTCTCAGATCACCAGCCATCTGAATAAGATGCCCATAAAGATTCAGTCCTTGTCTCTGCATATTGGGTCTCTTGGTGGCAGGCATCACAAAGGCTTGCTTTTCCTGTTTCACATTCTGGTGACTCCACTCCAGGACAGATTTTGGAACTCTCCAGTAACTCTGGGCATTCGGTGGGGAGTCCCATTGGCTGCCTGGACTGGGGGTGGGGAGAGGACGCCCAGGGTGCAGATTTGGAGACTCCCTAGCTGCTACCAGGAGGTTTCACTTGGGGACTCTGCACAAACACCACCACCACACCCCCCCCCCCCGTGGTCTTCACATTTGATTGAATCTTGCACTTCCTGGTTCAGGTTACAATCCCGGGTCACAATTTAGAGTGTCAAGAATTACAGTGCCTTCTGGTTTACAGAGCTCTGTCTGGTGGAATAGGGGGAAAAGCCTCTGTTCCAGGAAACAGCCTTTTGGGACAAGTTTTGGCTAATTGGTTGACCTATGTTTCTTTGAGTAACAAGAAAGTGGTTTTTATTGTAACACTGTTTGGCTTATGTATAGTATAACCTAGACTCAGGAGACCACTGGCCACTGAATGGGTCTTTAAATTCTGTATTATACAGTAACTAGAGTTGTTTTGTCAAAGATCAGGGAAGTGGGACAAAATGCCTTACCTGGAAACTTTCATGAGTTTACATAATCAGGATGCAGGACTAAACGGAAATAGATGAATGGTCCAGAAAAAAGGGAATTTGCCTGTGAAAGAGAGCAGAAGCTCAGAGGAGAGGGCCCTGGAAAATCTAGATATTATTGTTACCGAACAAGAGGTCCAAGGGAGGGGCAATACAATATTTGGCCCACTTAGGGATGCCCAAAACTGCTATACAACAGGGGCCTCTCCCCCAACAAAACCCAAATACTAATATCTACTGGGCTCTTCTGTCCGCCGCCAATTGGAAAGACATCTCTTAAAGCCAGAGATTTGTGAAAAGGAAACAAAATGTTTATTTAGTGCTATTCAGGCCTAATGCCACCACTAAAATATCAAAGTCCTTTAGGGTGTACACCTACACCCATACAGCGCTCCCTTCTCCCACTGTCCCAACTCCGGGTACCGTAAATCAGGAAAAGAGCACACGTCTGTGTTGCAGGCCGCTGGCACCGTCAGCTGTGTCACCGTGCAGGCAGGATCTCTACTTAATCCAAAGTACTGTGGTACCCTCTCACGATCCACTGGCAAGAGTCCTTTGTACCCAGTTCCAGTCAAAGTCTCTCTTGCTTTCCAGGCCACGCAGCCAAATGGGCATCCTAAAGCCGCGTGGGCCTCTTCTACCAAAGCTGCAGGAGTCTGCACTCCACCAAAAGCATGTGGCTTTCTTCTTCACCTGGCTGCAGGGATCTCCATTCTGGCAAAGCTGCGTGGTTTTCCCTTTCACCTGGGCAGTTCTTGCCTCATGTCCCGGAGCCCATCTTTTCCAAGCTCTCACAGAGGCGCTTCTCACTCAGGAGTGCAGCCCCTAGTTACATTCTGAGTCCCGAAGCCCTTCTCCCTCAGGCGTGCAGATCTTAGTTACATCCTCCTGAGTCCCAGTCCACTACCTTCTCCCTCACTCAGGAGGGCCGACCCTAGTTACATTCTCCTGAGTTCCCTGCTACTCCCTTCTCCTTGGCTCCAAACTTGGCCACTGCTATTTAACATATCTATGAAACTAGTTAAAGGTTACAGATATGTTAAATATTCATTCCAGAGGTTAGCTGCAAAACCATTGCTATGCAAAACAGCTCTCAATGGCCCTGCTCCATTCCTTTCTTTCCCCTGGGGGGGGGAGGGGGGCTGTGAGGACATCTTATATGTCTTTCCAATATTCCTATACACTTTGAATTCTGGACACTATTCCAAATCTTTTTGGGGGGGTCCCCCCTGGCTGCACCCTGTATCATTATGACTGCTGTGAGCATGGTCAGAGTTCCCACAGCCCCTCCGGCCCTGAGGTATCTTCCTCCTTACTCAGCTGAGGGAACTGGGGAAAGTGAGTCTGAACTGGTCTTACCATCTCTAACAGATTAGGGAACCAAATTCAGTGGAGGAAAAGCCCCTACCAGGAAAGGGCAATATCCTTTTGCAAAAACTTCCAGTGGGGGTAGGACCAGAGGACCTGCCCACTGCATACTATGGGCACATACTCCATCTTCTACATCAGATCTGTTACACTGGAAAATTTCTGAAGGGACAAGAGTATATCCGTTTAAAGTGGATGAAGGAGTGCACCCAGGCTTTTGAGTTTCTGAAGACACACATGGCTTCTGCACCAGCCTTAGGGCTTCTGAATCTACTAAAGCCCTCTCAGTGATATGTTCATGAAAGGCAGAGCATTGCCCTAGGAGTCCTCACCCAAACACTTAGTAACATTTCACAACCCATTGCTTACTTGTCAAGGAAACTAGATCACACTGTCCAGGGGTGGCCAGCCTGCTTGAGAGCTGTGACAGCCGCCTGTGAGCTCTTACAGGAAGCTGAAAATTTTCCCTGGGACAGCCTGTCACCATTTATGCACCCCAGCAAGTGTTGAGCCTGCTGGAGCAAAAGGGAAATGTGTGGCTCACTGCTAGAAGAAGGAGCAGGTCCCAAGCCATTCTTCTCAACAATTTCAATGTCTCCCTCAAAACTGTTAAATCCTGCCTCTCTTTTCCCGAAGCCTGACTTGGCTGTGCTAATACATGACTGTGCTGAGAAAATTGATGAAGTCTATTCTAAAAGAATTGATTTATAGGACCATCCTCTGGAAGAGGCAGACTGGACTTTATATGCAGATGGAAGCAGTTATATGGACAAATAAAACAGAAAGGCTGGGTATGCAGTTGTGATACTTGAAGGAATAGGAGAGGTCAAGGACTCACTGCCGGGAACCTCTGCTCAGAAAGTTAAACTGATTGCATTGAAGAGGACACTGGAATTGTCACAAGAAAAGAGTGAATGTGTAACAGAACCACTGGGCTCTACTGCTTTGGGTTCTATTGCTCCCCTCACCGATAAGATTTGTGACTCCCAATGCCAGAGTATTATGAAAAGGAAAGGGACTATTTATTCAAGTTATACAAGTTTAGAGTAATGGTGGAATTCTTCCATTAAATCTCACTCCCTTTAGAAACAAATATACACCCACAAACAGTCCTGTACCCTCTAGCCAAACCAGGCCAGTCAGAGGTACCATCTCTCAGGAAAAGAAACAGAAGTCTGTAGCTTATTTGGGCAGATACTTGTCTGTATTCCAGCTTCTTCCAGTCATCTGCCTGGCTAGCTAGGCTGCTGCTCTGAATCCAAAACCACGTCCTCATGGTGGGCCTGGGGGTGGGAGTGGGGGTGCATCCTTCTGCATCGTTTCAAACTGCACAGTCAAGACAGTGCATGGCTGCTACATGGTCAAGAGCCCTATGCAGCTGCTACATCCTGCTCCTTCCTTAGCTGGGTGGTCCAGAGCTCTAGTGGTGGGGGGGTGGGGGGGAGAGTGAGCCTGCTCCCACACCTGGGTATAAAGGTGCAGGTCTTCCTCTGTAACCCCATTTCCGACTCCTCACACAGTGGGTCACACCTGCCAGCACTCTGGTTTCTTCTGCCTTTCTCGGCTGCCATTGTTAGTCCAGGAAGGCTTGGTCCTGTGTCATAGAGTTAACTGACCTCCTGTTCTCACCAAGACACACAGCAAGCCCCTCTGGCTACATTGCATCACAGATTAGAGTCACACCTATCTCCGTGGCTCTGAGCAGGCGCAGCTGTTTAACACTACTAAAACATGGGCCAAATTCTTTACATATGCAAAACTATTCTCAATGGCCCTGGCTCCACTGGCCCCCCCACCCCCACCAGCGATAGCTGTGAGGGTTTTCTCCATCTTGGGGGGCCTCTGGCTCAGCAACCCATTACAAATGTGTATGCCGACTCAAGGTAAACTTTCCTAACTTTGCAATCACATAGTTCCATCTGGAAGGAAAAAGAACTGTTACCTTCTAATAAAAAGGAGATTAAGCATGCAGCAGAAGTTTTGAAATTATTAGAGGCTGTTCAAGTACCTTTACAGGTGGCAGTTATACACTGCCCGGGGCATTGGAAAGAGGACACTGAAGTGACTAGAGGAAACAATCTGGCTGAATGAGCAGCAGAAGAGGCTGCTAAAGAAACATTTGTAAAGCCTTTGGCACCTGTTCTGGACTTGTCACAATTTAACCCTGGATAATCGAGTGCAGACTTAGAGAAAGCTGAGAGCTGGGGTTTTGATCAAGAAGGTGCTGAGAGTGGATGGAGAAAGAATAAGAAAGGAGTTATACTGCTTCCTGAACATTTAGTAGAGCCGGTCATGAAGCATTTGCATGAGGCCATGTTGAGATCTGGGAAATTGAGAACGTAGCCTGACCACAGCAAGACAGGAACAAGGAACAGCATGCAAACAAAGGCTGAGCAGACATCCTGCAGTATGTGAGTGCCCTACTTAGAGCAAGATAGGCAGATTGTAATCTGTTTAGTTTTGAATTTTGAAACCCCACCCTGTTCTGGCGCGGTCTCTGTCAGCAAATAGCTAACTGCCACGTCTGCTTCTGTTCAACGCTTGCTTGCTCGTCCCAATATAAGGACTTAGCTGTAAGCGCTCGGTGTGACTCTCATCTGCAGCCTTTTTGGGCACCGTGTCTCTGGACACCCCGAGAGTTCGCTCCTGCGCAGGTTAAGCTTGGCCAATAAAATAAGATCAAAACCCTGAAAGGTCTTCGAAAATTATTCTCGTGTCCGGTGGATATAACAGCCACTCACTATGTAAGGGACTCATTAACCATGCATACTAAACTGTGGCTCACAAGTCCTGGAATTTCTAAAGCCATATGAAAAATAATTGCTAGATGTGTTGTATGCCAGAAGAACACTCCCAAGACAGATTCCCATAAAAAAAGAAAGAAAGAAGGGAAACAATACCAGGAACAGAGCCCATTTGAGGACTGGCAAATAGATTTTACCTAGATGCCAAGGGTCCAAGGGCAGAAATATTTGCTACTTCTTGTTTATATCTTTTCAGGGTAGGTGGAAGCCTGTCCTACTAGAATAGAGAAATTCCCGAGGTAGTGTGACAGACTTCCTGAAGGGCATTGTTGATGGGAGAGGCCTGGTTCTTCTTGCTGACACATGGAAAGAATTACAGATCAGCAAATCTATTAGCATGTAATCAGCTTATTAGTGACTGGTACCGATGGAAGAGAACAGGACTGTATAGGGGGGGGGGCAAAAGGCAAGGTTTCAGGGCAAAGCAGGATGGCAAATGGAAG